CTCCCCCAGACCCTTATACTTACAGGCACCTAGAATAAATGGTTTAAAATGCCAGTCCAATAGAATATAATGCCATGGAGATAGGACTGTTCGTACGTTTTCTCTTTTTGCACCTAGAATAGTAGCTGGCACAGTGTTGGGTATGGAGCCCAGTGAAGAGCTGTTAAAGGAACAAGTGAAATAAAGGCAAATCTCTGCATTTGCTCACAATCAGGATTAACTGGGTTTAAACTAGTACTTCTGGAATTTTCCCTGGTTTATTACCTCCTCCTTTTGCTACACTGACATCCAGTCCCCTTCCTTCTTCCTCCCTTCCTCTCCCTCAATTCCTGACAATCTGTAGCAGGTCCAGTGTCCCATGCTCAGAAACTCCTTGTAGCGTTCCCTCCAAACCAGCCCTCTCTCCCTCAGCTCCTCTGCCTCTTCTGCTTTTTCAGCAAGCCAGGGGTATTTCAAGCAATGATTTCCAACCATCAGGAGTAAATACGGATCCTCGTTGGCCTCTACTTCCACCCTTCCCCCTGAGCAGGGGACATTTACAGAGAGCATTGTAAGGAGCTCTGGTCTAACAAGGTGCTTTCAGAATTTTTTTAATACCAACTAGATGCCTGCCATCCTATTCTGTCTTTGTACATTTGACTATTCTAGGTACCCCATGTAAGGAGAACAGTACAATACTTGTCCTTTTGTGTTTGACTTATTCCAATTAGCATAGTGTCTTTGAAGTTCATCCACAGTTCAGCTTATTCCAGAATTTCCTTCTTTTTAAAGGTTGAGTAATATTCCATTTTATGTCTATGCCACACTTTATTTATCCATACATTGTTGAGTGTTTGGGGTTGTTTTTTACCCTTTAGGAATTGTGAACAATGCTACTATGGACACTGGTGTACATATACAGTCATGCTGTGCTTGACAATCCTTCTCAGAAATGCATAACTAGGCAATTGTGACAGCATGCAGCATATAGAATGTGCTTGTATGGACCTAGATGGTGAAGGTTCATCACTCAATGTGGCCTCTGACTATAATCAAGAGACCAATAAACACAAGATGTAGGAGGCTACAGCCAGCATAACCCAGCATAGTGTTCTATAGTCAATTAAAAAATAGGCATAAGGAGTATACCCTAAAATAGTGATAATAGCAGAGTTGTTACAGAAAACAATAATATCTTTTATCATCATGAAGAGGCATAATGTACTGTACAAAATTGTACATGCTATATTATACAACAACAGACAGTAGAGGTGGTTTGTGAATATGAGAACCATTGCAAAAATGCAAGTAATGCACTGTCCTATGATCTTACAATGGCTAGGATGTCATAAGGTGACACAAGTTTTTCAGCTCCATTAAGTCTTACGGGAGCACCCTTGGATACAGGGTTTGTTGTTGAGCATCCATCTTGATGTGGTTCACAAACGTAACTGAGTTTCTGCTTTCAATTCTCCTGAATTAAGAGTGGAACTGCTGAGTCATATGGTAATGATATGTTTAACTTTTCAGGGAACCACTAAACTGTTTCCATAGTACTAACAAGGTGGTTTTTCAGAAAAAGGAAAACGGATCCCCTATTCCCTCACTCTTGGAGTCAGAATGCACGTTAGCACAGGGAAGGCTCTGAGAGGTCGTGACACGAAGACATTACACCACTTTGATCCCTCATTCCTCCAGCTAATTTGACGGTGACCCCTCTGAGCAGAATAACTGGGAAGATATCATTCCCTGCTGGGCTGGGAAGAGTGCTCTGAACTTAGCAGGTCTGTATGGGAAGGGCTTTGATTCCAGCCTGGTGGGTTAGGGAAGACTCATTCAGAGTGCAGACATGGGTCCATCTCCATCCCTGCAATTAGCTTGTTGGGGGACTTTCCTTTTCTTGATGGCTTTCACATGCTCCGTTGTTCTCTGTCCTATGTATCCTTCTTTTGCGTCTTCGCTTTTATAAGTTTCTATTTATCCCTAAAACTGGATCAGATGCCCCATCTCTCCTTCTCTCAGACAACTGGACTCGGCCATCCTATTTCCCCAGGCAGAAATTGGGAGCTCTTCTTTGCCACGTAGTTTTCTTTTACAGCTAGTTGCCTGTTGAACAATTTGCCTTTACTATGTCAAAGGTGGTCAACTTTAGCTTGCTTAAACAATGACCTGGAGAATGTACTGAAAATGCAGATGCCTCTTCCTCACTAAAAATTCTAACTTAGCTCAACAGTGTACATTTAATGGTTCTAGAAAGTGCCTTCAAAAGCCCAGGCAATATTTTCAAGCAGATTTTTGGAATTCTCTTTAGTTCTGTGAAGGTGGCCCAACTCAACTGTGTTTATTTTATTTTACACATAATACACATACAATAAACCCTGGACGGGTGAGTAAATGCACTGCTGAATGAGCTCAGGTTTCCTCTTCTATGAATTATGAGCTTGGACTGGCTGCTCTCTCAGCTTTTTCCTGATTAAACTTCTTTGTAAAATTTGAATTATTTTACCCAAAATACTAGGCTCTCCCCAGCTTTCATATTAGAACTGCACACAATCCACAAACTCAAGCATAGCAAGCTCGCACAAAGACCTGCTGAAAAGGATTTAGTTCAAATTAATATTTGGTAAATGGCTCGGGACTCAGGAATAACCGTATTTTTTAAACTACCAACCTCATCACATGGTAGAGACAGAGTTATCCACGTGTGCCCATGTTCTCTCCTGAAAGTGGGAGGAGCCAACAGGCAGTGCTGTCAGGGCTGACAGGCCTGTAAGTGTGGGAACCCGGGAGCTGGTCATTATGGAAAGTCAGGAGGCAGGCGTGCACTGAGGTGTTCAGGAGGGCAGCAGACAGAACTGTCACGGCCCGACTCTGCTAAAACCACTTCTCAGGGGACAAAACCCAGGTCTTCACTCATGCTGAGTACATGCTCCAACGCTGAGCAGTGTCCCCAGCCCTTCATAGCATCTTTTACTTTCCCTGCAGGTCGTGAGAGGCAGTTTCAGCTTCTCATAAGAGCTGTGGCCCGAGAGAACTGAAGTCTCCTATTGCCTATAACCCCTTAGCATTTCAGAGGAAAAAGGCTGACTGTGGCTGCCAAGATCCAGCAAATATTTAGTTAGCTTGGAAAGAATGGATGCTCATTTTCCAATTCTCACGGCTTTCTCTATGCCCAGTTTCTTTTATTAAAAACATTAAATCCAGAGATAAAGTCGAATGGCACTCCAAGCTGTAAGCACTCATCTGTATCCCAGGGAGCAGAACTCAGGATCTGAACAAAGAGAACTTACATCAATAGAATTCATGAATGTCCTCCAGGAAAGGACTCAGTGTGGCAGAAGAACAAGTCCAGGGGCTCCTATCTGCGGTCCTCTTGGAGCGGATATTTATGGGAAGGGTTAGGGAATGTTCTTTCAGCTGGCAAGTGTCAGCAAACTATGGCCCACAGGCCAAATCCGGCCTGAATCCCTTTTGGTTTTGTATAGACTGGGGATAATGAATTTTTTTTTACCTTGCTCAATAGGGGGAAGTTTTTTAAAGACTATTTTATGTCATCTGAAAATGAGATGCAATTCAGTTTTGCATCCATAAACAAAGTTTTATTGGAACACAGCCACACCCATTTGTTTGCGTTTTGTCTAGGGCTGCTTTTGAGCGATGCAGGTGGCACAGCTGAGTAACTGAGGCAGAGACCAGATAGCCTTCAAAGCCCAAAATATGTACCGTATGGCTCTTTGCAGAAGTTTGTGTACCTCCAAGTAGGGGATGAAAGATGTGGCTCTTGCTGTTACTTGAACTGAACGCTACAAAATATATATACACAGTTAAGTAATTATAAAACAAACACCTGTATAACCTACCACTTGGGTCAAGAAATAAAACATTGTCCTCAGCAGCCCTGGACTCCTCCATATACCCTTCCTCCCCTACCAGTCAGGTCTTGTGATAGTATTTCTCAGTTGTTGTCTAGACTTGTACCACTTATTCCACAGTGGATTTTGCATGTTTTTTGGAAGTTATACATTAATAGGATAACCTTGCATTCGCATGTGTGTTCCTTTCTCAGTCTAGTTTATGGGATTCAGTCTGGAGTTACGGTGTGTGGTTGTAGCTCTGTCATTGCTCTTCTGCATATCATTCACGACATTCCTTAGGCAAGGCTCATTGGTTTGTTTTACTTCTCGGGGACAGCTGGGTCATTTCCAGTTTGGGGCAGTTCTTGAATAATAGTGCTGTGACCATCTTCTAGCTGAGCCATTGTTGACCTCTGAGTTTCTCAAGACGGGTAGATGTGTGGGACATAGGAAAGGTGTACCTTCACTCTCCTCAATGCCAAACTGCCCTCCAAAGAGGTTGGGCCAGATCACATTCCCGTCAGTGGCCCCCTCTAGGAACCTGAGGCACTCTCTTAAGTTCCCTCAGTCAGTGCTGTTTCCACCTCTGTTTCAGGAACCAAACGGTGTCTGTCTCTCTGTGAACCTGAGGCCTGGCAAATACACAGGAGCTACGGTCTCTTCTGCTTTGCACCTTCTCTTTAAGTCTTTCTCACATCTCAAAAACATAGGAAAAAACAAACTTCCTAACATGCTTCTAGAGAGAGGGTAGGAAGCCAACCAGCTGAGACCATCCTGACCCCCTCCCCACAGATGGGTGTGAAGGAAAGTAGCTCAGCACAACCAGGACTTCAGTGGGGACACCAGGGAAAGGGTAACTGCCCTTTTCTCTTCCTCCAGGGTCTGAGAGGACTAGAAAGGTCAGGGAATCAGCCCCGGGAAGCTGAGGCTTGTCTTTCGCAGTAGGGTTTTAGGAAAATGGGTGCTGGGAAAGCTCCCTCCTGTAACTGCCAGCAGGCAGACACCCCAGCTTCAGCACCTGGGGCACCAAGCACAAGAGGGATTTCTGAAGCATGATGTAGCACTCTACTGAGAAGGTACAAATAAACCTCAAACCCTAGCACACATTTATCCAGTTTGTGAAGCGGATTAATAGAATAACCAATAAAACATGTATAAAAGCTTTAATTAAATCTGATGAAATAAAGCTTCATGTTTTATTTATGGACACTCCCAACATGTAAAGGATTCAGGGAGACATTCATTTTTACTGCCATTTCGTCCTCATATCTATAATTAAATCCAGGCTGCAGCTCTGGCCCAAAGCAATGAGGCATTTTAAAGCTGGCCTTGGACCCCTCCCCCATCTGCTTCTCATTATAATTACCATCCCGAATACATAGGAGGCTGATGGCAAAACAAAACAAAATAATCAAACAAACAAACAAACAATGGTTGTTGCCATTGTGTCTTAAAGCGACATGCTGAAGGAGGATTGCAGGCAGGAGGGCGTATCCTGTAGTTCCAGTTTTATTCTGTACCAAGTGCACAATCCCTTCATTTTGACTTTGACATAAAAAAGGACTTCATGAAACAAGACAAAATAACTTATGATTATATGAAACATAACTGTGACAAATCACAAAACTATACATATTAATAGAAAAAAGTGTACCTAATTCTTTAAAAGATTTATGACAATAAGCACCAGATGTGCCTCTAGAGTAAAACCGGGCCCCATATCCAGTATGATATATGCAGTTCATTTCTCTACGTGAGTGTATATAAGTATGTACAAAAAGCCTGTGTGATTTATGGAAAACAGATTTCCACCCCCCCAAATGCTTTATGTCAGCAACATTACACAGGATGCTTTGCTGTCTGTACAAAATAAATCTCTTCTTTTTTACACTCACCATTTCTCCAATGAGTTTGGTTTTTCTTTCTTTTTTTGCTTTACCCATGGCAAAAAGAAAAAAAAGTAACTGCAGAAATTCCACACCACCAACAAAAAGTGCCATTAAGAAACGCTGCTATAAAATGACATGGTAAAACAGTCAAATAAAACACCAAACAATTAAACTGAACGGTTACAGTCACTATTCCCAATACTTCAAGGCAAGTGGGACGTTGAGGTTCTCTGATGGGGGAGTTGAACAGTTGTCCCCGTTCAAAACTGGTATTAGTGTACTAGTGCTCTTGACAGCTAGTAATTTTACAACTGAACAAAACCAACACACTATTATCAGTGGAAACTATGCTGTGATCTGCTAACGACCTTTTTTTCCATGTTAGGATCACCTAGGTAATTTGCGGGAGACAAGGGTAGACCGAGATACCTCCTAGGACCTGTAAATATTTAAATAATATTTAAATGTTGATCGGAGACTAAATTACCACTGACGTTTTGATGTAGTCTCTTTAGGGAATTAAAACAATGTAGCAAATTAAATGCCCCCTAGGCATATTGATTTATTTTTTAATGTAATAGGATAATTGGCTTTGGGCTGTGTTTTCACAAGCACCAAGATTTTTTCTTTTTGTTTGTTTGTTTCTTTTTAAAGGGGAATGACAATCTCTGCTTAGATGTTTATGAAAATGGCTACGTATCAAAAAAAAAAAGACTATAAAGGTCAGGAAATGGAAGGGAATGATCTTTGGAGTTTCATGTTTACTGCTACAAAATAGTAAGATACAGATCTTCTGCAAAGCAAAAATAGCAAGGGACAAATTTTAATGTCAGGGGAAATTCTGGAACCTAAGGGCAGCTTTTGGAGTCTGAAGGAATGGGAACGCGTCTTGTCCTGAGGTCCTAAACACAAACCTGCAGCCACTGGGCAACAATGAGGCACCTGCGGAGGGGCTTTCTCTGACAAGAAGGGTGTGCCTTAGGGCCGGGCCTTGAAATCCTACTGAGGAAGGAGGTGCTGCTGCGCCTGGGCTCCTCCTTGAATCTTTCCAGGCCGGGTGAGGCAAGGAAAGAGTAGTGTCACTGTGAGACCAGAGCCTGGCTCACAAGCATCTCCTCTTAACCAAAGGGGGAGATGACATCCTTGGTTTCTGCGGTTCAGCTTCTTGCTTTGTTCTCCTTCCTCCTTTCCACTTTAAATTATCTATAAAGCTACAGGCAGGGGTTACAACATCAGCTGCAATAACAACCATGCCTCTTCATGTTTTTCTCATCACACCAATGAAATGTATTTTGAGCTGCTTGTAATAGTGTCAGTAGTGAAGAATGGATAGACAGTCTCCCTAAAGACAGCAGAGTCTTCCTTTCTTACTAGCATGTGACAGAGGACACTTAATACATGCTACTAAGGCAGTGTTAGCACATGTCCTTGCTTAGGCCAAGTAGCACAACCCATAATGTCTGCAAGAATGGTGGTATTTTACATGCAGTCTCAGAGCTCACTTGTCATAGAGCTTGATGTGCATCCTTCTGTAAAGCAGAGCAGATTTGTGTAATGTGCTTAATTCAAATCTTTTGCAGACTTGGAAAGTGGCATTACAGCTTTCCTCAGAACACAGCCCACTAGCAAGACAAGCTAGATCAACTGAGTGTGCTATAAAAATGAAATCCACACTTGGCTCCTCGGTCCCCTCGTTCTACTGCACACTGAATGAACATGGGAATTAGGTGGAACACTTCTGATTTGGGAGCCAGACTAGAAGGACCCATCTGTCACAAAACAAACTGTTACAGGACCTCAAGTCTGACACCAAGCTGTTTAATTGTCTTGCTAAGGACTGTAATGATCTCAGTTTGATAAATACAATTGTCCATAAAATATTCTTTAAAAGAGAGAAAAGGAACTATCAAATGTGAGTGTACCAAAATGCTAGAACTGACCGTTTAGGGATTGGCCAGTGTTGATAGCTTTTGCCCTAGGGCACAAGACCTTTTTACTTGTCAATAGAAATGACTTCTCCTTTAGGCTTGGATATAAAATGACCAAGTGCTCTGTGAAAAATTCCAGGCCTTCAAACCAGTTTAAGAAAAAAAGGTGGCATTCTTCAGCCTACCTTCTGTGAACCATTCGATATACCTTCCCAAGAGTTGATACCAGGGTATGACAGGCTCTGCTTAGCATGTCTGAAACACGGTCAAGAAGATGTTGAGAGGAAATGAACACATGGAGGGAGAATGTCAGGGAAAGACACAGATGATTGGATACCCTGAGGGAGCTGGGCAGAGGCTGTGCAAAGTAACTGGACACTGGGCATCCTGGGGTTGGTTTTCTGCGGGAACCCACACATACGACCTGTCACGTGTCCCTGTTCCTACAGTCCCAACACTTCTAGGTGGAGTGCCAGAGTGAAAGCGGTGGGCAAACAATTCAAATGGCCTTTTCCTACGAACAGTGTTTTCAAAGTGGAGTCACTAAGCAGTCAATCCATGAGAGTTCCTGCTACAGCCCTGGGTACAGGGAGGAGTGTGTGTGTGTATGTGTGTGAGTGTGTACGTATGCACATGAATGCACAGGTGACTGCCCACCTTATTACCCTCAGATAGTTTTGCAAACTGCAGAACTATCATTCCAGAGGTCAGGCCAAGCAGAGCCACAGGTATGGTGAAATGGATATAGCCGGGGTGACTAAAATGATCATGATTTCCGCCCAAAGAACAAAACCTAAGTGTTACTGTTTTCCTCTTAAAGCAGATGTAAGTCACAAGTCTCTAATATTAAACAAATAAAGCAGGTTGATGCAGTAGAAAACCTTTGGCCAGTGGGGAAACACTGACTGTAATTGCTTAGCATGATGACATCTAAGAGAAGAGGGAAACCCCTGGAATTTCTGAGAGTTGAGGCCGCATGATGCTTTGGACGTGGATTTCCCTATGCTTGGCTTTGCAACATCTGGAGTTGGGAGGCTGCTCATTATGCCTCTGGTAACTGGGCTCTTCCCTCTTTGGAGTTTTCAGCAAGGGCCATCCCCCAACCTCATTTTAATATCCGCATCCTCTCATTGGTGTCCTTTGAGGGTTGACAGCCAGGAAGTAACAGGTATCCAGTAAAGTGAGACTCTTTCTTCGCTTTGAAAAGACAGTCCTGCCAGTCACCTGGTCCACCAAATCCAGCGAGAAAAAGAAGCAAGTGCAAATATTGCTGCAAAGCCAGCTCTGGTCATCCAGTCCTGCTTTCCAAAGACGCAGGACCTCGCAGGCTGCACTGATTTGGTGAACACCCTTCTTCACGCAGCCTGTGATGGTCTGAAAACAAAAGGGAGCAAGCAACTAAAAGATTCTGGGTGTTCGGCAGAGGTCAGCGCAGCTTTTAGCTTTCGGTATAGACGGAAGAAAGCTGGCTAGGACAGCGGTCCACGGCGCTGATCTGTAAGAATGTGGTATCGTCGGGCCCACTGCGAAGAGACTCCCCAAAGAGGCTTGAGGAAGCCGAAGGCAAATCATATACTGGAAGAGAAAGAACACAGCAAGTCAGAAAGTAGGCCGCACACCTACTGGGTGTGCAGCGCAGTAGCGTAGTTCACCAAGTGCTGGCCCTCCGGCGGGTCTCTGCACGTGAGGATCCTGGTGGGGAGGAAGCTGCCAATCCTGACTCAGCACAAGTACAGAAATTCAAGCTTAGTAGAAGTAAAAGAAGAGTGTTTTAGGGAGGGATGAAATGGCCTCACAAAGGTGACGGTAATCGTAAAGGAGAACAGGATTAAAAAAGAGATGCAGAAGAAGGGAAAGAATAATCCAGAAGCTGCAGATACTACAAAGACAGAGGGGGAGAGGCACGTGGGGGTCAAGGATGCCGGCAAAGGTCAAGAGCAGGGCACCGAGGAAGAACACGTGTGGGCAGGTCTGGGAGTTTGATCCATCCTAAATCAAGGAGGCTTAGATGCCTTGATGGAGAGAAAAGCTTATCTTCTACACAACTGGAAACTGCTGAAGCCATCTGAGGAGGAATGCGGGGTATTTTATCTCAGCTTTGGAAGGCAATGCTCAGGGTAGGATGGAGGGCAGAAAGGTCCGGAGGAGGCGGAAGGAGTCTCAGGGAGGCTGTCTGGAAGGCTCCTGCCACCATCTAAGAGACAGATGCTGGCGGCTGAGCAGGGTGGAGGAAGTAGGACTGGAGAGGGCAGGGGAGGAAGGGCAGATGAGAGACATAAGGGGGAAGAGCAACAGATTTGCGACAGTTATGTACTGGGCCAAGGCTGGTCCAGGCCAGCCACAGGAAACCCATCTGGTCTCTCCTGCCGGCTGGCCTGAGTTTGTAAGTCACGACACCCCACATACCTGTAATGCCTGAGTGAGTCGAGAAGGCTCTGTGGAAAACATCAAAACCAGCCTGGCCCATGGATGTGGGGACTAGGCAGTCCTCGAAGGAAGGCACCACACTGCAGGAGCTGCCAGGTGGCACAGTTCTCTGGGATTCGGGGTAATGTGGGGGGCAGAACGTCTGCAGCTGTCCATAAAATCCTGAAATGCAAACATGACATTAACCCACTTCGAGGCAGAAGACTACTCCAACCAAGTTAGACCCTCACTCGGCCTCGATTCTTATGACAAAATGCCTTTCTCTCTTAAGATAACCTGTTCAGTCTCCCAAATGAGCACCTGAAATGCACTACTTGGGCAGAAGCTTTTTGACCCAAGAGGGATTTCAAGGTTTGTTGGCGTAGGATATTTTTAGTTTGTTCTCTAGTACCCAAAGCCAACGGCCTTTAACCTCTGCCAGACTCTCTAAAGAGTCCTAGACCCTGAAGGTCTGTCTTCAGGGAACCTTCCTATTCCAGGCACTACCATCAGGTTTTGGATGCATCTCCTTTAATTCCTTTGTTCAGAAATTTCTTTTCTGATTTCACCTTGGGGGAGAAAAAGCCTCGCAGAGTGCTCTTAGTAAGGGCCACTTAAGTCCTAAAACACTATAAATCTATCTACCTATTCATCTGTCTTTACAACAGATACATTCAGACACATATCTTCCTTATTATCTAAAAACAGGTACAGTGTCCAATAGTTGCATGTACTATATTATTGATCGTTGTAGTAAAGAGTAAAACTGTAAATGACTAAATAATGATAAATGATAAAATATTTCTTAGTACTTGAGAAGAAAAATCACCAAGTTTATGATAACCTGACTTCATCTATCCCCCTCAATTTTTTTCTCACTCAGTGTAGTTCTCCTTGGTGGCCAATGTGGTCCTTTTCTATGATCCTCCAAAACTTCCTTGATTATTTACCTTTTCCTTCTTTCTCCATGACTCATAACTTTACATCAATAGATTATTCTTCTGGAGTATAATGAGATTATAAAACATAATAATGAGCTTTTAATTCTACACTCTAGTGGAGAGAAAGCGCTGTTGCTTTGTGGCACTGCATTTCATTGTGTCCGCTTCCTCAGCTGTGAAATGTGAAGGTCACTGTCTACTTCACAGGGCTACTGTGGAGAACGAGTGAGTCACTGGGTAAGGAAGTCCAGGTACAGTGCTTGAAGTGCTTCAGAAATGTCAGTTATTGTTGATATCACTATTGGTTTTTGATAAAAACAAGGGGATTAGTAGAGGACATGCCTCAGGATTGTCTCCATAAATATTAAATTATGGACAACACAGAACCAATGATTTGGACTTTTGATCTCTGGTCTTGCACACCTTCCTCCTTTAGAGCTGCTTTTTCTTAAGACTGGAAACCTTTAGGCCTGATTAAAGAAAAGCAACCCACCTATCAATAGGGGAGGTGCCACGGGTTGATCAGAGTTTGTTCTTTCTCTCTCTCTTTCTCTTGAGTTTGTTCTCTCTCTCTCTCTACTCTTTTTTTTTTTTTTTTTTTTTTTTTTTTTTTTTTTTTTAGTAGCGGGTATTGAACTCAGGATCTTGCGCTTGCCAGGCAGGCACTTATGCCACTGAGCTATATCCCTGGCCCTTCTCTCTCCTCTCACACTGGGGATTTAATTCAGCATCTTTCCACTGAGCTACATCCCAAGCCATGCCTTTTTATTTTGTGACAAGGTCTAATGAAGTCACTAAGTTGCCTATATGATCCTCCTGCCCCAGCCTCCTAGAATGTTGGGATTATTCTTAATTAAAACAAGGACACTCTGACACAACCAGCCTACTGCCCTTACAACTCTTCTCATTTCTCCTTAGGACCATTAAGGTAGCGTGTGTGATGCTCGGCTCTCCCTTGGCTGGGAGAGGTGTTCCACAGATGCTATGAACCCTACCAAAGCAAGTGTGCTGAACTGCTTCTAAAGACTCAGAGTGGCCCTATAGGAACTTATGACCCAAAAGGGAGATCATATACAGATTCCTTCACAGGCCACACCCACAGCAGAAAACAAAATACAATATCCTTTTTAAGTATACCATAATACACTCTACATAGAATCAACAGAAAAAATCCCACACAAGGTTTGGGGAAAAGAAAGGCTTGTTAGCAGTATGCACCGATAAAATACGGAGGACAATGGAAAACTTTTAGTTCTTCTCTTTTTGATTCTCCCAAAGCTTTTGCATGATCTCCATAGGCAGACAGGCAAAGGATCCAAGCACTACTCATAAATACTTCATAACTGATCAGCCAATATGAATGAAGTGTCAACTCTCAAGCTAGCAAAGAAATAAAAATTGAACAATAAAAGGCCATATTCTACACCTATCACATTAGCAAACATTTTAAGACATCACTCTTAGCACTACACCAAGAATGGTGAAGAAGGTACTGCTTCTTGGTGTCGTAGACAGGGTGAAAAGTGTCTTCTTTTTTCCAGTTCTTTGGGAAACCATTTGACAACCTGCACCTAGAAATACGTTTCAAGGCTTTCATATTCACAGCTTTGGAATTTTACTCCTGAGAAAGTATCTTAAAAGTATATTTTAAAGAACACAAGAAATCCTGTGTAATGATAGTCATGACAGAGGTAATGATTGTAACATGAAACTGGAGGCCTCAAAAGGCCAGCCATAAGAACATGGTTAAAGAAGAGCAGTGCACACCCATAAGGAGAACATCAGATAGCCATTACAACACTTATAAGGCTATTTAACAACGTGAAAAAACCATTCTAAGTTTCAGGTTTTTTTTAAAAGGAAGATACAAAATTGAAAATAAGACTTAAAGATATTGTAGACTATATCTGGGCTATAGTTAGTATGTGTTTGCAGTACATGATGATTACATGCATTTCAGGGAACTGGTACATGTACACAATATACCTCAAGTGGTAACCCAGTGTTGGGGGGGATCATTTCAACAAAATTTGAAAGCATCTAAGGATTAAGAATTTTCAGTCCATGAAGGTTCACCACAGACCCAGTTAACAGACAGACAACAGACTGGGGGTAGATATTTCCAATAGTTAAAATATTGATTGACATCTTGAATATACAGAAAAGACTTGCTAATCAATAAGAAAAATGTAGCCTTTCCAGTTGGGAAAAGGACAGGGAATAGGGATGGACAATTTACAAAAGAGGAAACTAAAAGGCTAAAGGTTTATCAAGAGGTACTCAAATCCATTATCAATCAGAAAAACATAAACTAAAACAACAAGACATCACTGCTGGACTGGTGAAAAGAGCGGGCTGTGAAACACCAGGCACGGATGAGGATGGGGTCGCAGCGATCTCCACACCACAGGTGCAAGTGCAGGCGGGGAGCAGTGCTGGATCAAGTTAAGTATATGCAGACTCCACAAGGTAAGATCCTAGCTCCTGGTGTACATCTTAGAGAAATGCTTACACAGATCGAAAGAGACATGCATAAGAATGTTCATTGTGTTTCTGGGGAGGTGAACCAGAGACGAGCCGGAGTCCCACCCTGGTGGAGTGGGCAGGTGAAATGTGTGGGGTGATCAGCTCATCCTGGTTTTCCCAGGCTTTCTCAGTTTTAGACCTCAAAGTCCACTTCCCAGCAGCCCTCTCAGTCCCAGGCCGCCCTGCTATGTGTTGGAGGTGTCCCACAGAGTACTGTGCAATACTGATGGAACTTACTATGCAGGGAGAAAAGGAGGGAAGAAAATTAAATATTTCATATATCAAAACATTGAATATAAAGGCTAAAATCAGTTCTGGGAAGCCTATGTATAGGCTTAAAATGCAAAAACAGTGACCACATGGATAGTCATCTTTGAGGTGTTTTTTGTTTTTTTGTTTTTTTGCCTTTATAGTCTTCTGGATTTTATTAGTGGTGAAGAGAGAATAGTCTGGATTCAGATTTCCTAAGTTCAGATCCCAAGTACATATCAACATGTAGTTTTGATAAATTATTGAATCCCCTGGAGTCTCACTTCACTAATTTATAAAGTGGGACTAACAGTACTAACTACATCTCACTGTGTTACTATAACATTAAAAGAATTAATGTTTCATATTATAGAATTTGGTAGTAACAGTTATATAACTAATATTTATATAATTTAATGATATAATTTATATGCTTCCTGAATAGTAAAATTTAAAGTAAAACTATTTTACCTTAATAATGTAATCCTCAAAAATAAGGTAAACTTCATTTTTAAAAACATATTATACTCCAAGAAAACAAAACAGTCTGGAGCATTCTTGGCCTTTTGGAGACCTGAGCTGTGCACCTCTTGCCCATGGTTCCTACATCTTGCACGAACTGACACATATTTTGATTTCTTCACTTCCCTTAGTTGGGACACAGAAGAGCACAAGGCTGAGTAGTTTGGAGGAACTAAAGATTGAGGTTACATAGTTTGGGGATTCCCTTGGACGGCCCTCCACTTTGGGTCAGGCACATGTGAATGACATGTCCATCGGGAAGAAAGCAACATGAACCATCACGGAGGGTCTATTAGAATGTAGGGGCTGGGGATTTAGCTCAGCGGCACAGCACCTGCCTGGCAAGCGCAAGGTCGTGAGTTCGATTCTCGGTACCAAAACAAACAAACAAACAAACAGAATGTAATGCCTCCTCCCTGAGTAAAATAGACAATATTTGCTATGTGTAGCCTTACACTAGTTCTGTTCAAACTTGTCAGCCATAAGTTCCCTGGTAGCATTCTTCAGTGTAATATTATCCTTCAAAGAAGAGGAGACATTTTTCACTGAACTCCCACAACTTCCCAAATAGTAACATTGATCATTCTGGGACAATGATAGAGACATTCTCTGGCCTTTTATGAAAACCAGTTCACTTTCCCCTTCCTAGCTTCTCCTTTGTTTCTGAGACAGGGTAGAAATGTCATACAACTCTAATCTCTGTTTAGGTGTTGTGATGTGTATGTCTAAAAGCTTTGTGACGTGTGATAATAGATAATATGCTCAATAACAAACTCAACACTCTGAGCTCCTCCTCTCAGTCTGCATCTCAGCAAGGAAGGCAAAGTAAACTCTAATTCCTGCCTTTGGGGTACCCTGGCTGATGTGAGAAACTGTCAAAACCAGAATAGCCCCACAAGCATGTTTTATCACTCTAATAGCCAACCAAGAAAAGAAAATCTTCTT